CTTCCTCCCTCACACCTTCTAGCATACTCCTTTCAAGTGGTCATCCACTAAACACCATCAGATAAGGAACAAGAGACATGCATTATAGAGTTAAACTCTATGGCAGGACTTTAAGAATGAATAAGTGAAACTTTCTTAACACCCAACAACCTCCTATTCATAATGTGGCGCGCTTGACACGATGAACAAGACACTACTAGATGTGGTTTGAGACAATCTAAGACCATTCCAGAAACCTTGTGCTCTCATACCATGTTTGTCACGACCCGAGTCTATACCCCGAAAGTGACATGGCGTACTGGACCCCGAAAGGGGTCTTATACAAGCCTCATATCACTCATAACATAAGATTGTAGGAAAATAAAAGAAAATTTAAAACTATCTTTACAATCGAAAACATCTTTCATAAAAGCAAGCGGAAGACTTCTAACTTTGTCTCAAAACCATCTAAATACTCTTTGAATACAACATTGGGACAAAGGCTATACAAAAGCTCTAAACCTAAGGGAAAAGGGTTGGGTTCGTCCTCAAAATTATGAAGACTCACCAAATCTTCAACTCCATGTATCTTAGGAACTTATCTTCCATGTACAAGACATCCAATCACCAAACCCTACATTTTGGTAAAAAGGAAGAAATATGGGTTAGCACATTAGATGCAATAAGTATGGAAGCCATGCAAAAACATGCTTAAAACAAACATTTTATTTGAAAGTCATGCTTTTATGCCATTTTGATAAAACTTCATGAACAATAGTAATAGAGGCACAATATAAGTCACAACCAACATTCAAGTCATATTTTCACATTTGAACATAATCAACATACAAACCATTACCTTCACATTAAGCCTTCACCGCAAGTAACCCTGAAGCTATACCTTGTGTAATGTATGAGTAGCGTTCCATACCACCACCCATACTGAGGTGCCACCTTAAGGTCACCATAAGTGAACTTACCATTCATCATTTCCATCTTTACACAATAAAGCATATAAGAGACATAAACATTACATAAGTCACATAATCACATAAGAACCATCATCTTAGACAACTCTAAATCATACTTGTTCCATGTCCAAGTAGCATCCCATATTACTACTCACACTAAGTACTCCTTTGAAGTCACCCTAGACAAGGCACATTCATATACTATAGGTAATGACAAGGAAGTAACTCATAATACAATCCAAGTATAGCATGCATCTTTACATCTAAGCATATAAGTCAACCTTCTTCTTTAACTTTCATTTAGGACATATTCATACATTAGTCATTAAGACTTAGAGAACTCACTATGACCCTCTCAAAGCCTACTTGTGCAATGCATGGATGGCATCACATACTACCACCCACACTTTGTAGAACCTTTCAAGAAACCATAATGCACATCTCACATTAAGGGAATGAGCATTTAACCAACATAAACCATGAGAGCATGTCATGGAATCCGGTGTCATAAAGCCCCACACCGTAAAGAGGTGGTCTACTTGCCTGAGGTAAAACAATAACCTAGCTTAGGTGGATCCACTAGCTAGACCTATGTGGGCACATAGTTTATGGGTTAGGAAGATGTTCATTGGAACTCTTGCCTAACATTAGGAGAGTTTCCATCTTGCATTTTCCACTCGGTGCTTAGCTTACATTCCCATAGAGTAGTTCATTACTTCATCATTATAACACATGAGAGGGTACATTGGGCTACCATCCCAAGGTACATTCATTAACACATGAAAGTGTGCCTTGAGCCTACCGATTCAAAGTTCATTCAATAACACATGAAAGGGTGCCATGAGCCTACCGATTCAAGGTTCATTTTAGGAAAGCTCATTATTTCCTCTTGAAAGGGTGCCATAAGCCTACCTTTTCAAGGTTCATCATTAACCTTCATGGAAGGGTGCCATAAGCCTACCAATCCCAAAGTACATTAACCTCAGATATGGAAGGGTGTCATAAGCCTACCGATCCTAAGGTTCATCATTTTATTAACTCATTTATGAAATGAATATTATAAGCCTATCGATTCATATTCATCAAGTCAAAACACATTCATTACTCATATATGAATGGAATACCATAGCTTATCAATTCATATTCATAAATCAACTATACTTTCATTCATTCAAGAAGAGGATGCACAAAGCCTACCAATTCAAGATATACATCATCACATTACTTTCATTAGTATAAGAAAATGATGCCTAGGCCTACCAATCCAAGATACAACAATACATAGAAGAAACCCTTCTCATTCCATCATTATTCATGAGTGTCAATTAAGAATATACTATCAACAACAACACAATTACATTGTATACATGATCATCATTCTATCATTGAAATTACATGCATATCTTTCACATTCTATCATCATCAAACGTGAGTGTCAAATTGAGAAATAGCCTTTCAATAATAACACATTTACTCACCTCATAATCATACATAGTAATTAAACACCTACACCTTTCAAGTGGATCAATAGCTCAAGCACAATTCTACTTCAACATGTAATTAGGTCATAACTTGCCCTTTCAAGGCCATGATCACAAGTAACCAACAAACCTTTCATTACTTCAATTAGGAATAAATAGTGATACAATTCAACGATCTAAATCAATTTACGCATAATCCATCAACTTTCATTTATGATCAAGAAACCCACTTCATAAAGGCACAATTGAGGAAATTGAGAGAATTCATGGGTTCATTGAGTATTTTCATCATAAATCATCAATTAAACACTAATACAATCATAATTTGTCATTAGAAACCATTTGAAAACGTTTGATTTAGGAAACCATGAGATTGAGTAAAACCCTAGATTTTTCATAGTTTGTAATCACTTTGGATTTGGCTCCTTGAATGGAAAATTAGACAAGGATCAATACTACCATACCTTGCTATTGATTCCCCACGAAAATCCTTTGAAAACCATGAAGATTTTACTTTGAGAGTTTGAAGTCTTCACCTCCAATGTAGGTTTCTAGAGAGAGAGCTTTTGGAGGGGAGAGGAGGTTTTGATTTGGGGTTTTGAAATAATGAGGTCTAAATGTGTTTTAATACTCTAAAAACCTTTAAAATACCATAAATAACTAATTAAAACCGTCCCCCAACTAAAATAGACTTCCGAACCCATTACAGCTTTTGCAGGTGCAAACCTCGCCCCTCACCTACGGACCGTAAGTGGGGCTACGCCACCGTCTTGCTGGTCTGTAATTTGGGGTTGCAACTTGGTTTGGAGTGTCTTGACCTATGGAGGCCATCCAAGGGGCGTGGATGGACCTACAAGACATGGTCCCCTTCCGTAGGTCACCATGTTTTTGGCAACATTATGGTTTCAAGGGGTCTTGGGGGTTAGGCTTAGGGTCCTCCTCAAGGACCCTTAGGGTGGTCCTTGTGGAGTCGTACCTTGACGTTTTACCCCAAAACCCCTCAACAATGGCTAGGTACAAAATAAAACAACATCAACCCTCATGACAAACTCACACACTCACTAGTTAGGCTCTAGATTCACTTATTCGTTTTACGGGTCGTTATAGTTTCATAGGGTTTTAGGTCTAGGATTCAGGGTTTTAGGTTAGTGTTTAGGGTTAAGGACTTTGGTTTTTTTAGTTTAGGGTTTTAGATTAAGGGTTTTGTCTAGGTTTTTTGGGTTTAGGGCTTTGGGTTTTTTAAGTTAAGGTATTTTAGGGCTTTATAGGTTTAGGATTTAGGGGTTTTTGTGTTTTTTAGGGTTTAGCATATGCAATTTAGGGCTTTATAGGGTTTAGAGCTTAGATATTTTTAGATTTAGGGGTTTTTGGGTTTTTAAGAGTTAAGTGTTTGGAAGGGTTTTTTTAGGGTTTGCTTAGCATTTTTTTTGTGATTTCTAGGTTTAAGGTTTACAAATTTCTAGGAGTTAGGGTTTAGACCTTAGGGTTTTGTAGGGGTTTTAAATGGTTAAGTAGTTCTTAGGGTTTAGGGCTATAGGTTTTTTGTGTTTTGTAGGTTTAGGGTGCACAATTTTTTAGGATTTAGGGTTTAGAGCATAGGGTTTTAGAAGGCTCTTAGGGTTTAATTTAGGGTTTACAGTCTGAGAAAGAACTCTAAATATGTTGCTTTGTAAATGGGGTTCTTCTCTAATTTTGTTCAGGTTGCTCATTTTCGTTATTCATGGTTATTGTGTCAACATATTGGCAAGAAACAAACTTTCACATTTGCGTCATACATTACCTATTTCACTCTTACACTAATGATCGTGAGAAGATGATGAACTGTAGGATAAACTACTGTAATGTAGTTATTGACTTTCTTTAATAAATGATGAACACATTAGATAGAGTGAAATTCAAATAAGTGATAGCATATGTGAACTAAAGGTCAAAGCTACTCGACTAAATAAGTGAATGACAACTTCTGAACAATCTAGAAAAGAAACATATGTGATCATTTAAATGAGCAGCTTATTACCTCAAAAGAGAAAGGTCTAAAACATAAAACATAACAATTTTACCTTTCCAACAACTGATATGTTGCTTCTTCCTTCGGCCTCTCTAACAAGAAGGGCTTCAACACCAGTAGCGTGTAACACAGGGAAAGTATTGAAAACCGTTTGAAATCGAAAGTACTATTTTCTACTTTCTTGATTTGCCTCAGTCCCTTTTTCTTTGTTGCTTCATGTTGCAAGCACTCTTCTATTGATCATCAAATTTATGTATACTTTTTTTTCAGTTAACAGTAACTTGTACAGACTTGTCATGTACAATGTTAAGTTAAGTAGGATATTAAAATTTGAAACATTAAATTTTTTCCATCTTATTATCAAAAATTATATTACATCAGTTATTGTTATTTGAAAGTATATTGCAATTACTTAACGGAAAAAGTACCCAAGGTCTACTAGAAATTGTGATCTTAGAGTTCAACTTAGTTGTGTTCATCTAATTGCAACAAGTTGTGTGCATATTGTTATTTTTATTTCGTTTTTAAAAAAAATCTATTTTTTATGTTTTCTCTAAGGTTATGGCACCTAGTAAGCAATGGATGGAACTTGTTGACAATCGACTTGATGAAGTGTATTTAGCCAGTGTGCAAAAGTTTTTAGATTATGCCTTTCAAAGAACAGGAGAAGAACATGAAATACGATGTCCATCTGTCAAATGTTTCAATACAATTCTAGGAACTCATAAATTAGTTGAGACACATTTGCTAGTGTATGGTATAATTCGAAACTATACTTTCTGGTATCACCATGGAGAACGTTTGGGTGAGCCATTGACTGAATATGAATCTGAAGATGAAGATGGTGATATAGTAGAAGAATGTGAGAGTGAGGATGAAGTAGAAGAATTGTTGAGAGAACTATATCATAATCTTGACGGAGGAAGTACACACACAGATTGTGATGATTTACTTGAGGAACCAAATGTTGAAGCAATTTTTTTTTACAGCCTATTAAAGGATTTCGAGAAGCCGCTGTACAAAAATTCAAAATCTTCAAAGCTTTCTTCTTTGATCAAATTGCTTCATATTAAAAGTATTGGTCGTTGGAGTAATGCGTCATTTACAATGATATTGAAACTATTAAAAGATGAGTTGTTATCTGATGACGCTGATTTGCCAAACTCATATTATGAGGTAAAAAAGATAATTCAAGAACTTAGACTTTCTTATAATAAGATTGATGCTTGTACTAACGATTGCATGTTATACTGGAAAGAGGATAGCTTACTCGATTCTTGTAAAATTTGTGGTGCATCGAGATGGAGAATTAATACACATAATGGGGAAACAAAGAATAAGAAAGGTAAAAAGATAGCTTCAAAGAGCTTACGCTATTTTCCCTTAAATCCTAGACTTCAGAGGTTGTTTATGTCTACAAAGACATCTACTCTAATGACATGGCACAAGGATGAAAGAGTTGATGATGGAATAATGAGGCACCCGGCTGATTCAATGGCATGGAAGTCATTTGATGAACTTCATCCTTCATTTGCAGTTGACCCTCGTAATGTTTGACTTGGACTTGCTAGTGATGGATTTCAGCCTTTTCGAAATTCAAAAACCTCACATAGCATTTGGCATGTTGTTCTTATTCCTTATAATTTATCTTATTGGTTGTGTATGGAACAAGAAAATTTCATTTTGTCGATGCTTATTCCTGGTCCAAATGGTCCTGGAGATGCAATTGATACATATCTCCAGCCTTTAATAGAGGAATTGAAAGAGTTGTGGGATGTTGGTTTTGAAACATATAATGCATCAACTAGAAAGAATTTTCAATTGCATGCTTCTTTGTTATGGACCATCAATGACTTTCCAGCTTACGGAAACTTATCTGGTTGGAGTACAAAATGAAAACTGGCATGCCCATGTTACAATAAGGACATAACTTCAATTCGATTGACTAATTGTAAGAAGCAGTGTTTTATGGGTCATCGACGTTACTTTCCTCTTAGTCATAAATGGAGAAATGAGACAAGGTCATTTGATGGTACACAAGAGAAAAGGCCTCCACCGAAAATGCGTTCTGGTATTGAGATAATACTTGATCAAGTGCAAGATCTTGAAGGACTACAATTATCAAAAGATCCAAAGAAAAGGAAGAAGATTTCACACGAAAATTGAAATGATAATTGGAACAAGAAAAGTATCTTTTTTCAACTTCCATATTGGAAGTGTCTCTTGTTGCGACACAATTTGAATGTTATGCATATTGAAAAAAAAAATGTTAATATCATGGGGACAATAATGAATGTCAAAGAAAAGACCAAGGACACAATTAAAACTCGGCTAGACTTGCAAGAAATGAACATTAGGTCGAAATTGCACCCAATTCAAAATGGGGAGAAATTTGAAGTTCCAACTGCATGCTAAACATTGCCTCCTGAAGATATGCACAAATTATGCCTTTTCTTAAAGAATCTAAAGGTTCCTGATGGGTTTTCATCTAATATTTCTCAATGTGTGAACCTAAAAGATCACAAGATATCTGGATTAAAAAGTCATGATTGTCATGTTCTTCTTCAACATTTGCTCCCTCTTGCACTTTGTGGAATGTTGTCTAAAGAAGTGTGTGAACCGCTGATTGAATTATCTATACTTTTTAGTGTGCTTTGATCAAAGGAGTTGAAAATTGATAACTTGGAACATATTGAAGCACAAATTCCAATAACACTATGCAAGTTAGAAAAGCTCTTCCCTCCTTCATTTTTTGATGTCATGGAGCACTACCATGTTCATTTCGCTAGCGAAGCTAAGATTACTGGACCGATTCATTATCGGTGAATGTATTATGTGGAACGATGGTTATATTTTTCGAAATCTCTCATTGGTAATAGGGCATGTCCTAAAGGTTCTATTGCAGAGGGCTATATTGCCATTGAATGTATGACCTTATGTTCGAGGTATCTGCATAGAATTGACACAAAGTTCAATAAGCCTGAACGAAATTATGATGGGGGTTTAAAAAAATGTAATGGAAGCTTTTATGGGTTTTTAAGGTTTAGGGCTTAGGGTTTCTTAGGGTTTAAAGTTTAGGATTTAGGGTTTTAGGTTAGGGTTTAGGGTTTAGGTCTTAGGGGTTTTAGGGTTTAGTTCTTTAGGTTTTTTAGGTTGATGTTTTTTGGGTTTTATAGTCTAAGGGTTTAGGTCTTATGGTTTTTTTTTTTTGGCTTTTTAGGGTTTATCATATACATTTTAGGGCTTTATAGGGTTTAGAGCTTAGAGTTTTTTAGGTTTAGGGGTTTTTGGGTTTTTAAGAGTTAAGTGTTTCTTATAGTTTTTAGGATTTAGGGCTTAGGGTTTATTGTCTTTTTAAGATTTAGGGTTTATAGATTTCTAGGATTTAGGGTTTAGAGCTTAGAGTTTTTATGGGAATCGAATGGTGTTTAGGGTATATTTTAGGGTTTATATGATTTAGGGTTTCTTAAGGTTTAAGGTATAGAGTATCTTAGGGTTTTATGTTTAGGATTTAGGGTTATAGGTTTGGTGTTTAGGGTTAAAGGTTTAGGGTTCTCTAGGTTAATGGTTTTAGGTTAAGGGTTTTATCTAGATTTTTAGGGTTAGGGGATTTGGGTGTTTAAGTTTAAGGGGTTTTAGGGTTTAGGGTTTTTTTTCATGTTTTTAGGGTTTAGCATACACGATTTAGGGCTTTATAGGGTTTAGAGCTTAGAGATTTTTAGGTTTAGTGGTTTTTGGGTTTTTTTAGGGTTTTTAAGTATTAAATGTTTTTTAGGTTTTATATGGTTTACGCCTTATGGTTTTTTTGTGTTTTTTAGGTTTAGGGTTTATAGGTTTTCAGGATTTAGGGTTTAGGGCTTAGGGTTTTGTAGGGTTTATTTTAGGGTTTATAGAATTTAGAGTTTCTTAAGGTTTAGGGTTTTAGGTTTAGGATTTAGTGTTTTAGGTTAGGGTTTAGGGTTTAGGGTTAAGGGTTTAGGGTTTTGGGTTTTAGGTTAAGGGTTTTATCTAGGGCTTTAGGGTTTAGGGCTTTGGGTTTTTTAGAATAAGGTTTTTTAGGTTTTTACAGGTTTAGGATTTACGATTTTTTTTTGTGTTTTTTAGGGTTTTGCATATATGATTTAGGGCTTTATAGAATTTAGAGCTTAGAGTTTTTTAGGTTTAGAGGTTTTGGGGGTTTTTAAGGTTTTTAAGTACTGTTAAGTGTTTCTTAGGGTTTTTTAGGGTTAATGGTTTAGGTGTTAGTTTTTTTTTGTGTTTTTTAGGTATTGGGTTTACAAATTTTTAGGATTACGGTTTAGTGCTTTAGGTTTTGTAGTGGTTTTAAATGGTTTTTAGGGTTTATAGGATTTAGGGTTTGAGGTTTCTTAGAGTTTTAGGTTTAGGATTTAGAGTTTTAGGTTCGGGTTCAGCGTTTAGGGCTAAGGGTTTTTATAGGTTTAGGGTTTTAGGTTATAGGTTTTATCTAGGTCTTTTGGGTTTAGGGCTTTGGGTTTTTTGGGTTAAGGTTTTTAGGACTTTATAGGTTTAGGGTTTAGGGCTTAGGTGTTTTTTTGTGTTTTTAGGGTTTATCATATACGATTTATGGCTTTATCGGGTTTAAAGCTTAGAGTTTTTTAGGTTTAGGTGTTTTTGGGTCTTTTCAGGGATTTTCAGGGTTAAGTGTTTCTTAGGGTGTTTTAGGGTCTCAGGTTTAGGGCTTAGTGTTTTTTTTTTTTTTATGTTTTTTAGTTTTAGGGTTTACGGATTTATAGAATTTAGGGTTTAGAGCTTAGGGTTTTAGGGATTTTACATGAGTTTTAGAGTTTTTTTTTAGGGTTTTGTATGATTTAGGCTATCTTAAGGTTTATGATTTAGGGTTTCTTAGGTTATTAGGTTTACAATTTAGGTTTTAGGTTAGGGTTTCATGTTTTAGGTCAAGGATTTTATCTAGGTTTTTAGGGTTCAGGGCTTTGGGTTTTTTAGGTTAAATTTTTTTTATGGTTTTATAGGTTTAGGGTTCAAGGCTTATTTTTGTGTGTTTTTATGGTTTAGCATATATAATTTAGGGCTTTATAGGGTTTAAAGTGTTTAGTTTTTCAGGTTTAGGGGTTTTTGGGTTTTTAAGGGTTAAGTGTTCCTTAGGGGTTTTTAGGGTTTAGGGTTTAGGGCTTAGTTTTTTTTGTTTGTTTTTATGCTTAGGGTTTACAGATTTTTAGGATTTAGAGCTTAGGGTATTGTAGGGGTTTTAAATTGTTTTTAGCGTTTATAGGATTTAGGGTTTCTTAGAGTTTTAGGTTTACGATTTAGGGTTTTAGTTTAGGGTTTAGGGCTTAGAGTGTTTTTAGGTTTAGGGTTTTAGGTTATGGTTATTCAGTGTTTTATAGGTTTAGGTTTTAGGGCTTCAGTTTTTTTTTTTGGGTTTTAGGTTATGGTTATTCAGTGTTTTATAGGTTTAGGTTTTAGGGCTTCATTTTTTTTTTTGGGTTTTTAGGGTTTACTATATTTAATTTAGGGCTTTATAGGGTTTAGAGCTTAGAGTTTTTTAGGTTTAGGGGTTTTTAAGAGTTATGTGTTACTTAGGTTTTAAGGTTTAGGGTTTAGTGTTTTTTTTTGTGTATTTAGGTTTAACATTTACAGATTTTTAGGATTTAGGGTTTAGCACTTAGAGTTTTGTAGGGGTTTCAAATTGTGTTTAGGGTTTATTTTAGGGTTTATAGGATTAAGAGTTTCTCAAGGTTTTAGATTTACAATTTAGGGTTTTAGATTAGGGTTTAGGGTATTGTGCTTAGGGTTTTTCTAGGTATAGGATTTTACCTAGGTTTTAAGGGTTTAGGGCTTTGGGTTTTTTTAGGTTAAAGTTTTTTTTGGGTTTTATAGGTTTAGGGTTTAAGGCTTAGGGTTTTTTTTTGTGTTCTTTAGTATTAAGCATATATGATTTAGGACTTTATAGGGTTTAGATGTTAGAGTGTTTTAGGTTTAGGGGTTTTTGGATTTTTTAGGGTTTTAAGGTTTATCTGTTTCTTAGGAGTTTTTAGGGTTTAGGGTTTATGGCTTAGGGATTTTTTGTATGTTTTTAGATTTAGGGTTTAGAGCTTAGGGTTTTATATGGGTTTTAAATGGTTTTTAGGGTTTATTTTAGGGTTTATATGATTTAGGATTTCATAAGGTTTAAGGTTTAGGGTTTCTTACGGTTTTAGGTTTAGGATTTAGGGTTTAGGGCTTAGGTTTTTTATGGATTAGGAATTTAGGTTAAGGGTTTTATCCAGGGCTTAGGGTTTTTCTTTATGTGATTTAGGGGTTAATAAGGTTTAGAGCTTAGTGTTTTTTTTAATCTATTTTTAGGGTTTTTAAGGGTTAAAGGGTTAGGATTTTTTTTTTTGTGTTTTTTAGGTTTAGGGTTACGGATTTTTAAAATTTAGGGTTTAGAGCATAGGGTTTTGTATGGGTTTTAAATGGGTTTTAGGGTTTAATTTAGGGTTTAATAGGATATAGGGTTTCTCAAGGTTTATGGTTTAGGCTTAGGGTTTTAGTTTTAGGATTTTAGTTTTTTTTTAGTTTAACGACCCTTTCTTTTT